TTCTACGCACCAAAATTAATAAGAAAAAAAAGTGTTTTCCCGAGAAATTTTGGTGCAGTCGATTTTTGGTAAAAAAGGAAGGTTTATACACTGCCTTTTTTTGAGGCGCGAAAAAAAAATTGTCTCAGATCGACCCGGAAAAAAAATGTTCTTATAGAATGTGGCCTGTAGAATCCATAATTTCAAACAGTTCCAAGATTGGGCTACTAGTCCAGTCAAAATAGGAAAATCAGAGGAACTAAAAATACTAGGTCCAATTTTTTCAGAAATGTGTAGGGAGAGGTTTCCTGAACAAGAAAAAATTAAGTGGCGATTTTAATAAGCTTTCATTTTGTACTTTTTTCACTGTAACGCACCATTTTCGAGTTAAAAGCGAAAAACTGAAAAATGGGTCGTTTAAAGCCCCCTCCTTCCGCTAGCGGCACCGGAATTTGGAGGGACTTTATGTTTTCTTGTTCAGGGAACCTCCCCCTACACATTTCTGAAAAAATTGGAACTAGTATTTTTAGTTCCTCTGTATGCCCATTTTTGGTCTAAATACATATATACATATATAACGTCATTCATTTTGTGTGTATAAAAAACCAAGGCTGGAGTTGGTCATAAACAGGGAGTTAACTTGCACCAACCACCAAAATCAATGCGAAAAGTGTCGGCAGTCGGTTTAATTAGTTTTTAAATATTTGGTCGCATTTGTTGCATAATTGCTCGAGCCATGCGGTCACAAATTCGCCACATTTCAATTCAATTCGCCAACGACAATTCGCAACTCTTTCGGCAGCTACGTTCATTTACATCGAAATGGCTTAGCGCATTTTAAGCGAAATTAAAGCGGTTTGTAGCTAATGTAAATTAGCAGGGAACAAAGAAGATAATTAAATTACGCTTTATTATTGCAGTCGATTGATTAATTAATTTCAATCAAAGTTTCTTTTAAACTTACAATAACATTTTCATTCTGTAGTAGGAGAGTCTGCTTTCGAATTATTTAAATTCAGACTGTATGTTAAATGTGTGCAACGTTTGGGTTGTGAATAATTTATCGCGAGGAAAACGTCATTTACTTGAAAGTGGAGGGTGAATGCTAAGAGGTTTTGAAAACAACAATAAATGAATTTCAGTGCGCTCTTATTGTCAAGTGAATCGTTACTGGTTGTTACTGCCGTTAAGTACCTATTCGGTTATCTCGATTCGAAATGTCCCCCCAACTATTACACAACAAACGATGATAACAAAAAGGGTTAACATTGCACACTAATTAAACTGACGCGACGAGAGCGGCTGGCTTATTTGGATAAATGCATTTTCAGTTTTCTGATGGCGACTGTCGGGCGCCGCTGATCGAATTTTTGGTTAAAACGATTCCTTTAACTGACTGCAGGAAATCAGATGTTTGCTTGAAAAACTTAAAGAACCTAAAGAAGGAAATTTTACATGTAATAATCAAATTTATTTTGTTGCAGGTAACCTAATCATCCAAATGCTGAAACATGTTCGTATCGTATATGTAAGTAAACCGTATAAGAAACAAATTAATGAGGAAGCGGAGCGGAAGCTGTCGGGTATGTGCTTTTGCTCCTCTACTAACTCGGAAAATCGATAAAAACAGAATTCGAAAACTCCAATCTATTCTTGAACGATCATTTAAGACTCGGATGGTCAGAGAAAGTGCGATTTTATTAATCTAAATTCTAAAACGTATTATCTTTAATCTCCGAAAATCTTGAATTGTTTCCATTTTTAAGGTCCAGTCTGCGGTCTTATTACTGTATTACTTATATGGTCCACTATGAAATTAACGATTTCTTCTCTATGTTATAATAAATAATCGATGTTAATTTTTGATGCATTGCATAAGGGAAATTATACAGACGATTTTCTCGTAATGACGTGAGAGTTCAACGTTTTGTAACTTTACGTCTTCTATTTATTTCTACTATAATTTAATGAGCGATTCAATAATGAATTTTAATTACCTTAAAGTTTCTCAAAGATTTAATCGAAATTTCATTGTTGTTTTTGGGAACCTGATGCGAATACATTTCTGAAAATGTGTATAAGTACACGGAGTCCAGCTAAAATATTAATTTTGCAATAGGTACTATTCAGGATTTAACAGAAGTTCATTCGGAACTGCATGCTTTATTTGCACGAGCGGAAAAGATTTAACAATTTATTGATTTATAATTTATTTAAACTTAATCCATAAACCAAACACGGGAGACTAAAAAAGCGTACTTATTCCTAAAATGTAATTTTTTTTAACATAATAGGCAACCTTTACGCACTACGTTTTGAAAAATAAATATGTATTTTTGTCGACCTACCCTCTCGATATGTACAGGGTGGTTCAAATCATTGGCTCACTATTGGAATCTCAGTAACTGTGAGAAATACAGTATAGGTCCTGGTATAGGTTAAATGGGGGCTAAGTTGCCCCTTTTTGTGAGTAAAAAAACGCATTTTTTAAAAGTGTTTGAAAATAACCGAGAAATCACCGAAAAACTGAAAATGTCAAATTTCGTCTTTATTTTCCCTAGCTTAAACGGTCGGAAATAGACGGATTAAAATAATGTCGTTTGCACCAAAGATGACCTTTACGTCACTAGTTTATCAACAAAGTTCAAACGACACATAACACATAAAAGCGCGAAATAGTTGGAAAACTTGACGTAAAAGTCATCTTTGGTGTAAAGAACTGTACAGCCTGTGCCTGTGAAAGATTTTTCAACAATTTCAAATGGGTTTTCTTTTGACACAAAAAGAATTTGTCAACCACCCTGTACATTTTGTTTTATTTAATGTTTTGATATGAATTGTAACGGATGATATCGGAAAATGCCGTTTTTCAACTCTCGAAATGAAAACACCCTTACATTGGTGAAAGTATGATTAATTACAACTCATTTGTTGTATACAATTGATGTTCTGAACTTATTACTTTGCACCCCTTTCGATTGTAATGCAATAAACAAAGTTAGTTTATTCGGTCATTACTCTATGATTCTCCTACATCCTACGAACGCATTTATACTCGTTTCTTGTATCGGACTGATAATCATATCTTTGTTTTCGTAAATATTCACAAGTGGTTTTGCATGTTTGGATGCAATAAAGGGTCTCCCTAAACCTGTTAATATTTAATAAGGCACGAAGGGCTGTTAAAACCTGCGTGTAGAGCAAAAACGAAAGAATTTCGGTAACTGATCTCTAATGCATAATCAAATATATGTATTTCGTATTGTATTATTTTACAAATCATTATTTGTTAGGGTATTTTTCTCAAAGTGAAAAATCCCTATTGGCTGCAGTTTGCCGTCCGTCTACCCGTTCGTCCGTCCCACGTACGTACTACTTCTACACGATATGGGGCTCATTTGAAAGGGCTTGATGCAAGGATTCCGTGTATACCGATATTTGCGCATGTCCTGAGTCAAAAATTTGGTTTAACGCATGTGCAATGCTAACTTTTTTTTATTTATAAAGTTGTTTAATGAAACTTTATATGTAAACACTACGAATGTATAAGAATACATAAGCAGTTTGAATAAAAGCAAATCTAACGCCAGTTTCAAAATTTGGTTTTGCACATGCGCACTGCCAACTTTCTTTATACGACAGCATTGAAATGACATTTTTTTATAATTGTATAGGCTCCACCATTAGGTAGTATCCCAACTGTGTTCATTAGTTATTTTACAATTGACATTGTATTTGTTAATACCTTTAATTTAACTATATGAAAAACTGACACGTAGTACTACTTGTGTGAAACTTAACAGACTTCGGCGATAGGTCGCGATTCATTTGAAAAAAGAATGGGGCAAGGATCTCGCGTCTACCGATATTTTTTCCCCGCCTCAGCATTAACATTATTAGGAGGAACATACGCTCTTGTCATTATTGTTTGCATAATAACTTTTTAACTTATTGACTTAGTGTTGCCGCGAGACGAGATCAACTCAAAGTCTCGTCTCGCCCTGGTTCAGTTTCGTCTAGTCTCGCGTGGTCTCGCCATACTATCCAAAAATGGTGTAGAGCATATAAAAGGCACCACGAAGGCATGACAAATAATAATGACCTTCCTTATCTATCTGCTAATCACGAAACATAATTATGTGTATTTTAAGAATTTTCCGAGGGATTTTCTTTACCATTCTGCAGCTAAAAAATGTTAGCTTTCATAAAATGTTTCTGGTAATGTAACTAGATAGGAA